TATTTACAAAAGTTTGAAAATTCCCTGGCCATATCTATCTGAAATCTTCACATTTGTTCTTTTATATATTTTCCAAAATCACTCAAGTGCATTGTACTATTCCACATACCCATATCTCAATTTTCTATTACTCTATATTCCATATAGATAATTTAAAAGAATCATTCATTCACTTGATAAAAGTGGTCCCTCTGCACATATTTCAAAGAATATCAAATATTCCATCTATTCTTCCCTCTGGCTTCCCCATCTCAAGACCCAAATCAAGCCAGAATAAATATTTTTCAAATTAAATGATCCTTTATGGTTAAAAGGCTTACTTACCCTTTACAGCAAATGAATACTCTGTTTTCAAAGAATTGGTACAAAATGAAAATATTTGACATTAAGAGGACAGTAACTAAAATTTAATCTCACTTTGATGATTCAGAATATGGTTAAAGATCTTGCCTTTATGTCAAATCATCATGAAAAAATATTTATCATTAATCTGTATATGTTCAGAAATGCTAGTGATAAGTAGTTATAGTCACCCCTCAAATAAATTTATTTGGCGTCTTTTCAAGTGGCAAGGTAAAGCTTTCTACTTAAAATAATCACTAAAAAAATTGAGAGTTGGGTTCGTTGATTCATTCTTAATGCTGAGGTCAAGTCTGTGGCAGAGTCATAACTAGACAGATTAAAAGAGATATTTATCAAGCTACTGATGTGTAAGTAGCAAGGCTTAGTTTCTTGTTTGACCTCTATAATAGATTAAGGGAAACACAACTGTTTGAAAATAAATATACATACAAGGAAGGTTCATAAACCCCATGTAATTACAAAAATTATACTGATGAATTTACTCCACTATGCTTTGCTTAAACTTTGTAAAATTGGCTTAACGGTTTACTCAAAATTTGAAGTACACTAAGATTTTTCTTCTCTTTAAAAATATGAGATAACGTCATTCACAGAGTGTTTTAAAAACGCACCTTAATTAGATGGTAGTTTTGAACTCCGTTTATTCCTATGTCAGGATCAACGGCCGCTGGAAGAGCAAATCGAGAGTTGATAGCCGAGTTCTCTGGAATTGAAATGTTGATAACCGTTGTCGGGAATAATGGTGCATTATCATTTATGTCTTCTATCAGAAAACGTATCTTAATCAGTCTAAATATTTCATCTGGCAAAATGGCAACCTCGACTTCATAAAAGCATTGGCCATCCATCAAGATACCGGAACATAATTTCTCACGATCAATGCGAGCTCCAGTAGTGAAGATCTCACCAGTATCCTCTTCAATTCGAATCAGTGGCACTTCCCCGGTCTTGTACACTAGCTTAAACTTCATGGGCGACGTTAAGGACTTGTCTGGAATCAGCGACAAATTGAGGTCTTTCCATAAGTCGCCTATCAGGACGTTTTCTGGCATTTCTTCTCGGATGGTGTAGTTCTTCTCCTGGGCGCCAGACTGGAACACGACGCATGCTAACAGGACCGCAAATATATACGTCCCGGACAACAAGTCCATACCAATTATGATTACGAAGGTTCTCTGTGTCTCCCCACAGAAAGCTGTCAAAGAGAAAATAAGAAAGAAGAAAAGAAAAAGAAGAAGAAAAGAAGAAAGAGAGAGAGAGAGAGAGAGAAGAGAAGAGGAAGAAGAAATTATTAAGAAGCCAACTGTAAACATACATGTTAACTAAATATTCAGTTTTAAATTAAAATCATTAAATGAACTATAGCATAATTGGCACTGTTAAATAAATTAACAACAAATTTCTTTTGAATCAAATATTATGCATTTTTACATTAATATGAAAGATAAAATATCAACAGTAATTAAAAGAGACAGTATTTATAAAAGTGTCCAGCATTGATAAAATATATGAAAGATAATATTTAATATACCAAGATAGTTAAAGGTAATACAAGTAATTAAAACTATTTAATTCACAAAGGATCTGAGCGGACATTTCTCCAAAGAAGATATACAAATGGCCAATAAGCACATGAAAAGATGTTCAACATCATTAGTTATCAGGGAAATGAAAATCAAAATAGCATGAATGTTATAATATTGCATTAGTTATAATATTGTGTTATATCCTGGAAATTTGCTAAAAGAATAGATTTTAGGTCCTCTTACCACACACACAGAAACACACACACACACACACATACATACATACACACACGTAACTATGGCTAATTGAGAGAATGGATATGTTAATTTGCTTGTAGTAATCATTTCACTATGTATATTTTTATCAAAACATCATGTTGTACATTTTAAATATAGACAATAAAAAGACACAGGTATAAGAAAGAAAAAGTAATAAAAAATAAATAAAGCTATTTAATTCAATAGTTAAGGAAAAGTAAAGGGATATTTGTTACCAATTGCAAATATAATCATTATTCTTTGTTATAATATGGGTTTCAATTGCAATTATTCTATTGACAATGAATATTTTATACGATCTTCTATATCTTCAGTTCTGGGCATTAAAGTGTAAAAAATAATCTGGACAAAAAACGAGACAGAGAATCATGACAACTAAGGGACTCAGGAAGTTTGATTTGAAGAAGAAAAGTCTTTTGAGAGAGGAAAGCGGTGGATGTGACAAATGCCTAAATGTGGGAAGAACTATCATGTGGAAAGGGGATTAGAGTTTTCTTTCTTTGGATGAGAAAAACAAGAATAGTTATAAATTATAGGGAAACAACTTTCATATCAACATAAACAACTGCTTATTAAAGCATTCTGGGAAAAAAAAAAAGGTTTTCAGGAGATAGTGAGTTCCATATCTTTGAAGATACTGATATTGTATTTGGACCACCAGTTGACATTTACATATTTGGTTTACATATAGTTTGGTAAATTATGTCCAAACATTCAATGGAGGAGTTGGACTAGAAGACATCCCAACTCTGAGAATTTGTTTATAGATTGCAGAAGGTAGCCCATATGAAAATGGATTTTCACATTTATAAGCAGCTATAGGAGTTACCTAACTCTAAAGAACAACTAAAGTAGAGTTTAAAAATAAGAAAGGCATTTGAAACCACTTTACCACGTTAAAAAATGAATCAAAAAACAATCTCCCTGGCTACCTTCCACCCCCTTTTGTATTATTTTTCATTCACTGAAATCTTACAAAGTACTTCAGTTCTCTAGTTCTGATAAAATTCAATAAGAAATTGTGATTTCCTTATAGTCTGCAAAATTTTTTCTTCAGTTTCCTTTCTTAATTCTCAATTTGATTTGTTTGATATAGTCTCAATTTGCTACATTAAATATCTTTTAATCTCTAAATCAATCTAGTATCAAAACATTCTAATGTGCTTCTCGATATTATTTGTAGGTAATATGAAACATAAAATGTAATTTGTATCACACTGCACTAAACTCTATTAGATCTTATATATTTTACAATTAAATAGGGGTTAATGTAGCTATCAAGGCATTTAGCAGCTTTAAAAGATTGGAGGACAGATGGTTATTTAAAATTTCATTACAGAAAAGTATTAATGCATGTAGGTATTTAATTAATGAAGTTCTCAATATTTATTGGTAATCAATAACATTAACAAAGTTTTAGTAATGGTTCTGAAAACAAGAGGACTTAGGACATGATATAAATAACTTGCTGGATATTGTGCTCTGATTATTCCAGACAATGTATTATATGAAACAATTGTCCCACTGCATAGCTGCATGTCTGAATTTTTTAAAATATGCATATGCAAATGTTGGAAGATGCAAAATGAGGAAAATGATATCTTCCAATCTGCAATCAGTAATAAAACAAATGCACTTGTTGCAACAATTGAGATGATTTAGGTTATGAATACAACCAATAGGTGAACTGGATAAACTTTAAACATCTCATTTTATAAGTTCTGATCACAAAATAAAAATATATATTATGGGTCCAACCACCTTCCTGTGTTGCGTAGTTGGTGGAATTTATAAAATATATTAAGTATAACAATGAGTAATGCTAATGCTGAAGCCATAATATAGAAAAATTACTATATTATGTTAGTAAATAATATAAAAAGATTGTTGTATGTGGTATTGTCTTTTTAGCATCATTTGCTTAATGATGAGCATGAGGATTACATAATATAGAAACCTGCTCAAGATTCAGTCTCATGAATTATTGGCCTTATGCTCTGTTTTGAATGTGAGATTAAAAATACCCCATTGATACTATGGGCTAATATGCACATATATATGTGTGTCCAATATACTGTAATCTAGGACATCTAAGAAAATTTGAGTGTCTGTGTGTGTGATTTTTTAAACACCATGCAAACATAAGCAGAAATAAAAATGGGGCAGTGACAATTGGAATTAAAACTGCTATTCTATTCTTATCTCACCCTTAGGTATTACACATTATTACAGCTGGCAGAATACTACAGACGGTTTTTAAAAACATTGCATACATGTTGTAATATCTCCACAACAGAGAAAGAATTAAGAAAGTGACCTGATTCTGAGAAGTCTCCCTCTCCCAATCCATTCTGAATCTGTTCTACTCTACCTTTACTACTATCATCACATAAAACATTTCAAAATGTTTCATGACTTGAAATTCTTTCAGAGGTTTTAAAAGCCAGGAAAAAACATTGCGGAAAAAAGACAATATCATTTTTAAAGCATAAGTGAATATACATATTGCCAACCTAGAAGGGGTATTTACCCTCTGGTTACTTAATTAGTTTCAACGTCTATTCAATATATATTCATTCGACAAATATCTATTAAGCCATTTTTATATGCCAAGCACTGTTCTAGGCACTGAGAGTAGTTCAGTGAACAAAACAGACAAAAATCCCTTCCCTCATAGAGTTTATATTTGATAATATTAATATTCCAGCGTGTCTTAAATTCACTGTTCAACCACTGTATATGGAACTCAACCCTAACTCTACCAGGATATGAATATGCATGTTTAAATAATCTCAATCACCAGATTTTGATTTCAATCCTTACATTTACCACTTGAAATTTATTCTCTTTAAAATTAAGAGAGTTTTCCTTGAAAATGCTTAGTTTAATTCCTTGAGACCAGTACAGAAATTTAGCTATTAATACTAAATATGGACAGAAATAGTCGCCGCTTAGTTTTACGGAAGCATGGTAAATTTAACCCAGATATTCAAGGAAAATTTGCTTACATGCTTATCTTTATTTTGTGTTAATTTTTCTGTCTCTAATGAAATAATGATAAGATAACCTTAAGTTCTTTACCCTTCCCCTACAACCCACTCCTACTGTAGACTAGGATTAGTTTGTAAATTCATAGTGGAAGCACAATGAAAGCAGATACAGAGAATAAAACTTTTCCACATGTTCCAGTATTCCCCATACTATTAAAATGATGCCCTTTATTGGCAATACATAGTGGTCGGGTAGGCAATAGTTGTATTTAGGGAGACAGAATCATGACAATTAGAGAACGTAGAAACAAAATAAGCTCCTTTGAAAATGTAAATATTTGAAAAGCCAAAATGCAAATTCATTTTATAAAGACTCATTTTATAGCCTCTGAGCAATTTAGTTCTAAAAAGGTAAGTAGGTAAGGGACTGGGCCTCTAATATATGCGATTCTAGAAATTTCAAACCACAAAAGTGATGTTCAAACGGTTTGTCAGAAGAATTCCAAGGCATAATTTCCTTTATATTCTTGTTACATCTTCCTTCATTATAGTGCTCGTTTCATTTGTGACATATTTAAATTAATTCTACGTGAATGACTGGTTTACATGCTACAGTAAATTGTTAAAATTGTACAAATTTAGGTATTACATGAAAATAAGAAATATCTACATGCTGCCATTATCCTAACGTCACTTGGCTCCCATTATTTTTTTTTTTTTTTTTTTTT